GAAGTGCTATTACAAACTTGAGACTGATCTGAAGGGTAATTTTCTATAATTAAAGAATAGATTATTCAGTCTACCTATTACACCCAAAAATATCAAATTAAAAAAATTTCAGTGAAGCATATATATAAAAATAATGAGCTAAACTTACAGATTAAGAATCTATCTTCAAAGCTATAAAAAAAACCTTTTTAAATGAACCCATTAATTACAGACACATTGAGACATTTAAAAACATTGGAGAGTATGGGATGTAGGTATATTTTTTGCGTTAATCGGGCCATTCTGATATTCAAGGTGATGAATAAGCTAGGCGATACTACAGTAGTAAAATCAATTAAACAAGCAGTCCCAGTAAAAGATGTTTTACAAAAGAAATAATTACTTGAATTAAAAAAAAAAAAAAATGCTAACGAGAAATGACCCTATCTTTGGCATGAATTAAAAGATAATAAATTAAGAATATTATAACCCTCTGCAGTGCCAAATCGAGCGGACCTTCGTTTAAAAAGAAAAGAAGAGAACGAAATATTAACACGATTAAAAATTTGACATTCCAGAATTATACACGAATACTTTATGGCAAAGATGACGTCCTCTCAATGTATTTCATACGGGATCCATTTAACGGTATCGCACATCTTACCAGAGTTTTATGCATACCAACCTCATCCGAATGAAATTGAATAGGAAAAAGATATTAGTATAAACATGAAAAATAATATAATACTTACAAAATAGCACACATAACATATGGGTGAGTAAACATAATAGTAAACAATAATAATTTACCATGTAACAGCATTTATTTATAATTATACTTGCCTTCTAGAAACTTAATTGCAATAAAATGCGACAAAAAGCATTAAGTACAAGAAAACAATCCGGAAACATGAGGATGATTAATATGTGAACGTATACCAATTACACACAACGAAGGAAGTTTTATTTGCCAACCTCATAATTAATCAAAAATAATATGAAGATGCAAAAAAAAATAAAACATGTAACGTAAATACCAGATAGATATTGAATAGACTGTTATATTGTTGGTTACAAGTTGTTGTTTACAAGCAAAACTAATAAAGCGTTTTATTATCTACTGTGATTTTTATTCTTTCAGATTAATAAAATCAGTTATTAATCCAAATTTAAATTTAAATTAGGCGTTATTACTAATTCTTGTAATGAACAATCTTTAACTAACAATACAACAATATGTTCAATATCCAGTTGGCATTTACAAAAATTGTTTTTATTCCTTGAAAAACTCAACTATATCCCAAAATTTCTTAATGTTTTGAAACCTTTTCAATGGTTCGCACCTTTTTGTTTAATGAATTTTTAATGTTTTCTACTTTTCTACTTTGTAAATTTCTTATTGAAAATTCATTAGAATTTAATTGTTTTGTAACTGCGAATACTATAACTTCAAATTTCCAATAAAAGCTGAATAGTATGAGGGCTAAAATTCTAAAAAGGGAACATAAAAAAAACTTGAAAAGCTCACATTGTTATAAATAAATATAAAGTTTTATGTTTTTATCTGGATAAAAAAAATAAGTATTCGAACATTTATATTTCATAACAGCTTCTCATTTCGCTTGTGGAATAGTGGTCTGTAGTTTAGCCTTAATCCCACCAAGGACTTCAGGCATGCAGAGAATAATACATTTCAGAAGATAGGGGATAAAGTAGGAAGGGAATTTTATCGGTGACATACATCCCAGTTTATGAAAGTTAATTCCAGCGCTAGTGGGACAAAGCTTGGAGAAGAGATGAGTCTGTAGTAAGGACATTTAGGGATTTCTTATTGGCTAATTCCTCCGAGGGCGAAGAAGATTTAGTAAATCCAGAAATATTAGTAATTATTAACAGAAATGCTAATGAAATTTTAAACATTGTAATCAGCACATTAAAATATAGGATAGGTGTAATGAGGTCAAGAATAAAACTCAAAATATAATGAAGTCAAAGCAAAGCATTTCAAAATTATTCTTGCACGGCCAAGAATAATTTGGTGTAAGTTTCCTCGTTGCCTAATTGGTTAGAGCCATGCATGGTTGAAGATAGTAAGGTGACAATCCATGAATGTGAATCAATGTAAACAAAATTAACCTATAGCAAGTTTTACATTTAAGAGCGGAACCTACCATTGGAAGATACAGTGAAGGCTCATGCTCCTAAAATAAAAGGAAATTTTATTTTTTCAACTCCATATATTTATTCTAAACATAAGGAATTTATTGCATAATTAAATAAGTAGTTATTTCATATTTTTTAAAACTCATTTCCATAAAATGGACGAACGAATGGCTCGTAGAAACAGTATAAAAATGTCATTAATTATAAATCTAATTTTTAATAAGTTTTCTTGTTGTATATACATAAAGTCCACCTTAATATTTTGAACAACAAAACTGAACGTTCACCTGTATTTTGTTAATGATTTGATTTTAATTTAATTGATTGAATTTTATTTTATTGAAACTAAAATAAATATGAAATGTTGGTGTTTAGAGCTCCTTTCAAACTGAAAATTCGTATAAATTTTCTTAACTGCTTTATCTTGACATACATTGTGATTAAATGCTATACAGTAGGATTTCTGTTGTCTTTGGCCGTTGCAAAATATTAGAAACTTAAATCAAATAAAAAGTCTTATAAGAAATTTTTATTTTTTTGTATCCACTAAAGATAGATTTTTGATCTTCCTTTGATATTTAAAAGTACACATGTACCCCATTGACTGACGATAATTCATATAATGGGGAAATCACACGTCAGATTTGAAATTTAATGTGTTAATGTGGAAGAGCTTAAATGGTTATTGAAAAGATGAACAAAATCACGTGTTTTTTTTAGATATGAACACTGAGTTTCCGTATGGTTTACCAAGTTCCATCAAAATAAACCAATCATTTTAAATTTACCACTATAGAAAAAAAGAAAAGAAAAGATACATTTATATGACTTTACATCAGATTTAAAAAAAAAATTGATTTGATATATATAAAAATAATAATATATAAATATGAAAAAATAATAGTATAATCGAATAATATGATTATTTCGAACATTTTACATTTTGCCAACAAACCATTTAAATTTGTACGAATCTCTATACATGACATCCAGCATGAAATATAATTATTATGAACAAGGTCTTCAGTGGGTAAAGTTAAACCGTATTCTCATGCAAATTCTTAGATTTTTACGTAACAGAATTCTTTTCAAGTTCATAACACTTCCTTCCATTAGCTGCTGACAATATGTGCATTCGAATCATTCTGTCGCAATGTCTGCAAGTTATCTAACAGGCTTCAACCTACTTACTTTTCAATAAGCCATCAGCAAACAGAGAATATAGATGAATTATTAGGGACATAATTTGCTGCACTGGGCTGTTAGCTGAAGATAAGCAATAATTAGGCAAACAGTTGCAACAACCGACGGCAGTCCGCATAATGATTAGCTCACTAACTACTCCATTGTTTTACAGTGTGTAATTATAGCATCGTCTTAGCCAATAATTTCATGATTTTTTTGTTATTTACCTGAAAACAGCGACGGTGTTAGTGATATAGATGTAGAGAGGAATATATTTGAACATAAGAAAACGTTTAAAAATTTTGGGTCTACGATAACATGAAAAAAACGAAATTGGAGAGGAAATTAAGATTTGGTAGAAGAAAGATATTTATTTTTCTATTTAAGCCTACTTAGATCGCGGCTCTTATCCCGAAAAAAATGAAAACAGAATAATTTACAAGATATTCTTTATGAATGCAAGACTGGCTGCTGCTTACCTTAAGGGATGAGCAACGTCTCAAGATGTTTTTATGTAAAATATTATGTTAAAAATTCGAGCCACAGAAGGATCAGTCAACCAGAGAATTCAGATGGTTACACAACGCCGAAATGCGTAAATTTCTTTTCTTTTACCCCTACCATTCCACTTCTATCCTATGGAGGTATAGCCAAACGTATTTCAACCACAGTACAAACGTAGAGATTCATTCATTGTATCCGGCTTGAAATAAATTTCAAGCTGCCCAGGCTGGATTTGAACTCGGCGTCTCTAACTCGAAAATGCAAAATGGGCAAATATTCAACTCACTCGACCATAACAAGAACGACGAACGACATCTGAATTGCAAGAACTTCTTTTTTTTTTTTCTCCTCTTCCTCGCCTTTACGGAACATACGGTGTTTTTCCCAGGCCAAAGGAGAGAGGAAGTGATAAATGCCACAGTTAAAAGAGTGTGAAAACTGTAAAAGACTCCGAATAATCCCAAACAAGTTAAAATCCACTATGTCTGCTGGTATGAGTCAAAAAGGGAGAGTGTAAAATGGATGGGAAGGAGGGAGATTTGCGTTAAGGTTGATCTAACGAAGTTGTGTTTGAAAAGGGGTTTATGGATGGAAACATGTAGGCATCGATTGCTGGGGTCAGTATCGAACTTACCTTTTAGGGTTTTTATAAATTATATTTTATAAATAAAACAGGTGAGTTACTGGAAAAAATCGGTGGTTTGTTTTTGTATAAAGGAGTAAAGCTCCGTGTTAATTGAATTCTTATTAGAGGAAATTAAATGACTTCATTGAAAGATGCTAGTCGACTGTTCTACATATCATGGGTGATAAATATTCAGGACGCAGTCAATATACAATTTTTTTGTTAGTGCCAACGTTTCAACCCAAATATGTGAATCATCTTCAGTATTTTAAAATATTCAGTCTTGAAGATGACATGTTTGGGTTTAATCGTTGGCACAAATAAAAAAATTGTTTCACGACTGCGTTCTGACTATTTATCACCCGTAAATGACTCCAGTTGACGTATGCAATATTTTGAAATACCAGAGTATAATATCTACTTTACAGTGGAGGGATACAGCCTAAAGTCGAACCCAGTCCTCATTATTGGAAAGGGAGCCAATATCCGAGGGGCCTTTCTACTCCCGACAATACTGATAAATAAAATGCCTCCGGGAGCTCACCAATTCCACCGGCGAGTGGTCCCTCCATCCCACCATCCCACCATCCCACCATCCCTCCAATTGGATCAGGTTCTATTCTTGTGGTCGATCTTCTATCGCAACCGGCTAATAATGCACAATATAATTTTCAAGAAATAAAATTAATGATGTGGAAATTTATTCACTGTTAAAGATGCTCATTCTAGTCAGAGCTCCAGTATACTGAGAGAAAAACTAAAGTGGCAGGAAAACGGAACCATCCACTTCAGAATAGAAATGCTACGTAGATAAAATTATTAGAATTATGGTTAGATTCTCTTATTATGTTCACAAAGCTAAAAATATTACCAGCATTTTTTTTTTTTATTAATAATATTTTATTAATATGTATATTTTGCCTCAATTAAGGGCATTGAGTATTTAGGATGTATGAAACACAAACAAAGCATTTATACAATAAAAGAAAAACAAGATTATAACAAAAGAAAAGAAAACTTAGAATAACAGAATAAATCAAACTACCAGACTAAATAAATAAATTTAGTTTATTTATTTAGTTTTATATTTGTTACTTCTACCCCCTGCATTGACGAAATCATATACCGTTATTATTAAGATTATAGATTTATTATAATTAAATTCCAGACTTTCTAAATAAATAAATTACAGATGAAGGTGAACACCAAAGCATAGGATTTGACAAAAAATAACAGATTTCTTCAATGGCATTCTGTTGCACATATCAGCCTTTCTCTGATTTTCATAATTAAGTCTATACTTATTTAAAAACCTGTCTGTTAATATTGAACATAGTAGCTAAAAATTATCATTACTTTTTTTTATTAAAGAAACCATTTTTTTTTTCAAAATGATTTATCAACCACATGTATTATATTTAAAAATTCTATTTTTATTTAATTTATTTTTTATGGTAATAGGCAAAACCAGCTAACATTGTAAAAATTCTTATTAGGATTACCTAAAAAAATCTGTGGTACGCCAGCACTAAAAATCCAGCACGCCATAATTTATTCTAAGTAGATTATAAAATTTATAAGATCAGTATATCATACAAAATTAAATATTATATATAACGACTAATTAAGAACAGTAATTGCCATATAGGAGGGAAGGATAAAATTAATAGTGGACTAAGCCTTTCCCTTCTCCCCCATTCCAAAGAGTCCTGTATAGGCAAGGATCTTAAAATATTAACAGAAATATTTTGAACAATAATCGAACTATATTAATAATTAAATGGTCTCTAAGTTTTATTTTCTCATTCTTAATCTATGTCTTCTTTTGAGGTTTATTTATATTTTTGTTAGCCGCCGAAATGTTTATCGTTTGAACTGATGAAAACATATCAATAAAAATTGATACTAGAATTGTTTTCTGCAATATCGGGGTAGCCGAATGGGCTAAAGCGTGGGCACAGCACCGCGAGTTGCCCGGCAACCAGATATATGAAGTTTTGAGAGACAAAAAAAAAGTACAAGTTCGCGGCCCGGTGTCGGAGGGGATTTTAAATTCCTCGCTCTCTTCCTCCGGCCCAGAGAAATCCCGTATAGCCTAAAATGGCGAGGTAGGGAAGAAAAAAAAAAAAAAAAAAAAAAAAAGACGCTTTATAGACAATTAAAATAGATACAATTTTCAATATTATTGATCATATTCCTTTTTTTGCTTTCTCGCTTAGGTTCCGAGATATGCGTTCTCAATCATCGGTAATTCTGAAGAAAAAAAAAATGTTTTTTTTTGTTGTATTTGACTAGCTAACTCTTGATCGCATTCTTCTACAATTGAGTTACGGGGAAGAAAATTTTTAATAATTAAATTTTCTATTGCTCTAACACTCTATACTACAGAGCAACTATAGTACTCAATACTACTATAGACAAATATAATAAAATGTATTATAAAAATTATTTATTTTTGCAATTTCTCGGAATTGACATATAAAGTGCTGGGTCACAACAACCAGCTTGTACATTGCTTTTAGTTCCGTCTTTTTCTATCCCTTCCATACGCTGTTCTTGTTGGTAACTGTCCGTAATCTTCCGTCTTAAATTCTTACGAAGACTTTTATTTCAAAACGTCGTACCGCAGTTTCTTGACATTTTGTAAGGTTCCATGTTTCAGTGCCATAAGTCAGTACAGAATAAAACTAAATTGGTTTAGTAATATTCTGGTTTTAGCACTATTCTAGACTAATTTATTGCTACACTTATGAACCTGGCTTCCAGCTCCAGAGAGCAATAGTTCGTTCGCTTTATTTGAATGTTTAATAATCACCTAACTGGGAGGATGAATAAGAAATTTCCATATATCAAGTTGACCACTTCCTTGATTCGTAATTCTTGAGTTTTTTTTTTTTTTTATTCTTCTATTAACATGTGTGAATTATTTGAATTGGACACTGATTACTCCTATGCACATGGATACGTGTCTTAAACGCTGAAGACTCGATAAAAGTATGATAAACACAAAATTAGATATCAATTATTGAAGCTGTAAGCAAGTCCATCACATCACTACATACTTATATACTTGAAAACTATTATCTATAAATGTATATATATATATATATATATATATATATATATATATATATATATATATATATATATAATTAATCGAAGAGCCATGGTTAAACTAATTGATACCCAGATGAAAGGCAGGCATCAGGATAGACTTTGATGTCCTAATACTGCTATTTCAACATTCTAGCTCTGTTTAATTTCCTCTGTTGTGGCCCCACACAGGGGAACACAATGATTGCTTCTGATTCTTCATTAACTCCTACCTTTTCATTTAGATAATTAAAGTTCCAGGATTCGTTTTAATAGAATGTTCTTAGAGTAATAAGAAAATTAGATGAATTATTAATCCAAGCACACGATTTTTCTTATCAATTCGAAGTGAATGTCAAGTATCAAATTTGTTTCCTGCAACTTCCATAACATTTATTTAATTTGTATTAGCAATAACCAACAAGAAGACAAAATCGAACAATCAAATAAGCAATGTTGAAGTCAAACAAGTCGAAAATATAATAGAAGAAAATAGGAAGGCTATTTTGGACTAGACAAAAGAGTGACAATTTCGTTATCGTTTAAATATAGGTGAAAAAGTTAAGTGAGATTCATAAAAAATGTCAGAGCTAGTTTTGGGAACAGCACGTTCTTCGACTATTCAGAACGGAGTACCTGATTCAGAACATAGAAATTGGACGAAACGAAAAAATTACAAACAAAAAGTTAAAAAATAACTAATTATTTTAACAGACTATAAATTACTTTTCTGGCTGTTTATTTTATTTTATTTTTTCTATTTTACAATAACTTTATGATTATTTGGAATCCGATGACCCTATGTAACCCTGACATTTACTTCGATACTCGAAATACTCCTTTATTTGTTTTGTAGCCCATATTTTTTTTCTTATTTTTTTTTTTTTTAGATGAACTCAAATAAAATCCGGATACTTTGATAAAAAAATATATATATCTAATTTATGCAGACGGCCTATAGTTTCTAACTGTTTTGTCTTTCCACGGGGCTAAACCAATCAAAAAATCTTATTTAAAAATTTAATTTTGTTAGACGTTTTTTAAAAATTATTTATCTTTTTTCGCTAAGGGAACGTTACAAAATATTTAATAATAAAAAATAAATTGGAAATTTTCTTTATTTAATCATCAACTATCCTTGTTAACTTGGTTTTCAAAAAACGTATTCATTAAACGAATTAAAAACATTCGAATTGTCCTCTCTTTAGAACTCGTGAAAGAGCAAAAGCTTATCAAAACTTCTAGCTAAAAACAAAACCAAATATAAACTACTAGAGCAAAAAAAAAAAAAAAAAAGAATAAAATACTTTATTATAAATGTCTAGTTTTATAAATGGAAGAAAAAAAACTATCTACAGTTATTTATGAAGTATAAAGACTGAGGTCTGACCTTTCAACAAATGGAACCAAGATTTGCCATCACCGGCACAGATTTAGAAATGACTTCATCTAGCACTGAACATTTCTTGTGCTCTTTGAATATTTCTTGATATTCAGAGAGAGAAATAAACTATGTACAGCTTTATGTTTGTCATGGTTTGGTATCAGATATAAAAAATATCTCCCTGATCCTTTACACAAAATATAATTCCTATCAGGAAATCAGGAAAATCAGTTTTATATTATTACAGTTTTATATAATTTTAGTGACGTACACTTACCATTCCTTAATACCTTATCGATCCCTGTGATACATTTAAATTTGGTTTTTATTTCTTCAAATTATATTCTAATTTATTTATATATTTATTGTGATACGTATTCATCAGTAAAGATGATATTTCCGACATACAATGCCGTTCAAATTCAGGTTATGTAACATTTTATATATTGGTAATAAAATGTGTTTATTATTTTATTTGTTTCATGTTTTTTCAATATTAATTTGGAGTGTATAAATATGAGAATTGAGGATTTATAAATTCATTGAACAAATAATATGCAAACTAAATAAAATATGTAAAATAAAATACATATAAATAAAGAAACCATTTTCAGCATGTAATTTTTTTTCATTTACATGTTTTAATAAAGTTATTTTACCAGCCTAACCTCCTTCCGTAAAAATATTCGTAAAATTACTTTATTTATTATATCACAGTATGTTTTTCCTGATAAAAGTTCAATACATTTGAAAAATCAGGAAATTTTATTTATTTCCTTTAACAATCCAGATAATATTTATGAATATTTATTTATTTTTTTTAATTCTATAGAACTACTCACGACTCTCAACTAGTAATGCAGTCAAAGTGGACTTCAAAGAAGAAAATTTGAAATATTTGCTTTTAGTGACTTACTTTATGCTTATTAGTATGCTACATCTAAAGTTATTCAACAACATATATTTTGACATGAAGAAACAAAAAAAAAAAAATTCTCATCACACGCAAAATAGTTTTATCCAAAAAATAACACATATACTTGTATGCAAACAAAATTCCCTACAATTCATGTTCTGCATATTGTTTGGAACAATTATGGTATTCATGAATTCGAAAAATTAGAGAAAATCATACTCCAGTAAAATTATTTGATGAGGAAAATTCTGATCAAATTGTTTTCAGTTGCTTAATTTCAATATTTTTTAGAGAGCTCGACATTAATCAGAAGTTAAATAATTTTTAGAACTCCAATTAAAGTTCTATATTAGGTATCGAAGAGAAGAATACAAGAGGAAGCAAAGTTAGAAACAAGAGGGTTCGGATGGTTCAGAAGTTTATTATGGAAGGATGGTTACCTAGATTGAGCTAAATCAGAAACATATGGTACATTAAAGTAGTTATGGATGACTTTTTTGAGATAAAGTAAGAAGCATTGAGGATTTTACGAAGGATTTTGGATTGTATAAATTGAATACGAGAGAAATTTGATGGTTTAGTACAGTCCTGAAAGAAGATAATTTAGAATTCATATTCTGGAAATGTTTTAGTACGATTAACTAGTGGACGTCGAAAAAATAACGAAAATAAGTCTAGTTACGCGAGAAGCATTAATCGTTTTTGTTTTCATCTTTATTTTAAAATATTTCAAATGTTAAAAGGATGTTATAAACAAATTTTAAAAAAATAATTTATTTTTGTAAATTATATTTTTGTACAACTTCAGATTTGCGTTCACCACCCCGAAAATCAAAGTTAGCATGCTGAAAACAACTGCACCAGAGTTTTCCACTTCTTACCTTTTCCTAACCAAATTGACTGGGTTATAGCATCAACATTTTCTCAAAATACTGATAAAATTCACTGAAAGAACGATATTTCTATTGAGAAAAAAGGAAGAAGTTATATTTAAAAATTTGATCATTTAATGTTTACGAATGTTGTTTTATTGAAACTAAATCCTCGCCAGAGGCCTTTGAAAATAATGGTGTTCTAAAAGATTACGTATTGACATATTTTACAGTAAATTTTCCAGAGATATTTTCATTTTCTTCAGAGAAAGAAAAAATTTAATGTTCTAAATCATTCGGATCAAAACGATCGGAAACGATTTTACGGCAGTATTTTATGGAGCGACTTTATTGTCCATAATTAGATCTTTAATTGTTCATCGGTATTTTGATTTACAGATATTCAACTCGATTAAAATTAACCGAATATAAGTTATTAGTATTAACGGTTACGTAGTTACAAGAACTGCTACAGCCACGTGGAATATAATATTGTCACGGTGAATTAGAGCATGGAGGTACAATCTCCTAAAGGTTCCCCTATGTTTGCTTTTGCGTGCATCTGTTCCGGGCATATGGATACTCACTGCTACGAGTTAGTTCGTTCATGGTTTTCGGGATCCACCGTATACACTTTTTTTTACTTATTTATTTACTAAAGATACAGATCAACAAATCGAGGGCTTCTCACTAAAAAAAAAAAATCAAAAGAAAAAACAAATAAAGATAAACTTTATTCAGGAAAATAGAATTTTTTGTAGGACTAGTGAAACTTTGAGGGGGCAGGTTTGAAGCTTAATTAATTTCAAATGGAAGGTTTCTTTTTTTTTCGCGATTAGTTTATTTCAAAATGTTATAATTACAAATAATCAACTTGTCACTGTCAACCATTTTTCATAATTTTTTTTTTGTATAAGTTGCTATTTTATTTTCTAAGTTAGGAGATGGAGTCAACAGTATGAATATATTTATTAGTTAGATCGATAGGATACTGTAAGTTCAATTTAATTGCAGTTGCTTTCCACGAATGAAATACAATAGAAAGCAATAAGAATAGAGAGCCGTATATAATGCATTGGCAGTTCTACTTTCTATTTATCAGGATCTAGAACGTCGTTAGATGCTAGATGCTTAGCCACAGTCACGATAAACTTAATACTTTTTAATATAACGTAATATAAAATTTATTATTTAATATTCCACGATTCGACAACCTTAATTCGTACCGACATAAGAATTATAAATAACAAAAATAATTATAAAAACAATTGTTACATAGCAAATATTAAAATTGGACTTTATAGTCAAAGAATATACAATAAAATTGATTACGAGAGGTCGTTTGAAGAATAATCAATATTAGTTAATGAAGTGAGGGATAAAATCGTTGTGCATTAGATCATCTAATAAATTGTTAACAATTATAGTATGTTTGAAAATGGAGTGACTTCGAGATCAGCAAAGTTTGTTTATTTAATTAGGCACTGGAAACTTGTAAATACCTATTTGCTTTCAACTTAGATCGTAAGATAATTTAATGAAAAAATCAAGAAAAAAGTTGACTTTAAAAAATATTGATCAGTTTGGCGTATGTAATCTCGTCATCGGGGTGTAGGTCACACCAATATTTATAAGGCTCAATATTTTTAAAGATCACTTTTTTTCTCGATTTTGTACACAAATCATCTTACAATTGAAGAAGAAAGCAAATGGGTATTTACGAGATTTTAGTACCTAATTAAATAAACAAAGTTTGGCGATCTCCGAGGAATAAAACATCTTCGCTCGAAGGGAACATATTCCGTTCAGATTTTTATGTAAAAATATTATGTGAACATAGACGTCGAGTAAAGTATTACAGCACAATATATATTTGACACTTTTAGCTCTGGCAGCTGTGAATGTAAAAAAACTATTGCTTTGGTCAGAAAATTATGTAGAGTACATGGGTTTTGACAAGGAGAATTCAATATAAATTAGCACCAAGAATAGCAAATGAAAAAAATATATAAATATAGGTTTTTGTATAATTTATTATTTAATAAGATTTGTTTAATCTTTTACTTTATATGGTTAAAAAGTTTCATTTAGTAAATTCATTTTTGGTACCTAGTAAAAAGCTGGTTGTACCACAGATCAAAACAAGGTCCTTATTTTTTAATGAATCCAAATATAGAAATATTTAAACTAAAGCAATTTTCGTATTTTTTAATGATGATATCCCATTTAGTTCGAAAAGGTTTCTTCATTAAAATATGCCACCATCTTGGTATACAGTTTTAGAAAACCTCTTATAATTCTTACGCTTTACTTAATTGTACTAAATAGAATTTCCTCACACTTAAGTCACGTTTGAACGTCTTCACACATGAAATAAATATGAATTTTTAAAAAAATTAATTGTTATGTAGTTTTTACAATTATTTATTCCTTTAAAAGAATAAATGAATTTCCTCACATTTCTTATTTCATGAATAAATATCTTACAAAATAAGTTTTAATACATTTTTTGTTTATGGATGGCCTGTATAAAATCATTGTGGTACTTTCTTATTTATAAATATGATATAATAATTATGTACTAACCTCTGTCATATTTGTTTCTCAGAGCGACCAAACTTGAAACGATACTCGCGCGATGGGCCGAATTTTTCACCCCTAAATCCCTTATTTGGGCTTCAGAGAAATTCAACAATTCCTGAAAGAAAAGAATATAGGCTTAAATAATCCATATAACTTAAGTATCTAATCAAATAAATTATTTAGAAGCTTAAGCTATAAAATATTTACCAATATATTTCAAACAGTATAATCAATATGACATATATAAATATATCTTACGCATAAAAGGCGTAGAAGAGAAAATTAATTAAAGCAAAATTGTACTTAGTAATACTTAGTTATAGTACTTTTTAATTGTACTTAGAATTATATTTAAAGAATAAGAATCAAAGCCCTTTTAATATCTTTATTTTCAATAAATAAAATCATATAAATTTTATTTTATCCCCTTTATCCGTAAATGAATATATCTAAAAAAAAAACAGACAGGATTAAATAAAACAATCGCACATTTTAAAAAAAAATGAATTAAGTTTTAAAGAATACATAAAAAAAAAAAAATCATTTTGTTTAACTGATCTATTAAAAAGGCATTCTGATTCGTAGAAATAACTAGGATCCTTTTTCTGTTATTTTACAAATTTTGGTTTTCAATAATTATTCGCGGGGTTACAGTTGATTCCGGAAAAATCACAGACATTTCAAAATAGTTAAAATTATTTTTCATAGCCTAATAATTTATCAAAACCTTTTCTCTAGCATAATTAGATGGAGGGAACTCCAGCCTCAAGTGTTGTAGGAGTTATCAGTGTACATACTCTACATTCCACTCTTACAGTTGATTGTTTTATGACAAGCCATATCAAATGTAAGAATGTAAATTAGAGAATATTTATGAGTGAAACTTTACAAAAATTTCCAGAAACCACATAAGCCTTAATTTTATCATAATCCGGATATTAATTTATTATATCACAAAATATTAATAATATATTAGGTTCTTTTGATTAAAAATTAATCCAGAGAAAATCTTGATTACCATACTAAGACGTAAAAAAAATAAAATAATATAAAAATGTTGGTTGTTTTTTCCCTCATTCTTTTAAAATATTTTAATCAGGTTTCTTAAAATTATATCTTATTGATTATTTTTTATATAATTAAACTTTTTAATTTACAAATTAAGTTATAAAAATTTTGTGTTTACCTTTATTCCAAGGTGATATGCTTGTTCTGAAATGGTATTTGTTTTGATTTCGTATGAAATCAGGGATTGTGCAGAGCAGATCCTTAAATATTCACAGGTACGTTTAGTATAAAAAAGAAAACATATTCTTTTGCCTTTTACTAGGTATGTCGTTTACTATCTCCAATATCACCACAACCCGAGTAATACTTCTGAAGGATACGATTGCTAAGGCACACTCTATTTCAAGAATATACAACAAGGGATAAGGATAATTGGTTGAAGCAGTGCAATTCTTCTGTCAAAAATCAGTGTTACCGCGAGACAAGGGAAGATAAATAAATAAATGTAAATAGATGTATTGTAATATAATATACGATATATGAATATATATATTTAGGTGCTACAATATATATATATATATATATATATATATATATATATATATATATATATATATATATATATATATATATATATATATATTTAAAGAATGAGGGAAAAAACAACCAACATTTTTATATTATTTTATTTTTTTTACGTCTTAGTATGGTAATAAAGATTTTCCCTGTATTAATTTTTAATCAAAAGAACCTAATATATTATTAATATTTTGTGATATAATAAATTATATATATATATATATATATATATATATATATATATATATATATATATATATACAGGAGTGCATCGACGGGATTTTGAATTTTATGGAATGAAAAGTTTCGTTTCAAACCAGAGGAGTAGGGAAAAACACGAAACAAACCACAGCAAGCGTAATTATATAGTGGACAGGTTGGCCGAACGGGCTAACGTGTGTGCATAACTGATCTATGAGTCAATGGATTCAAAATAGTTACGAGTTCGCGTCCCGGTGCCAAAGGAGTCTGTTAAATCCCCGCCCACACCTTCTGGCCCGGGAAAACCCCTTATAGACTTATAGGCGAGGAAGGGGAGGACCCCTCCAAAAAAGCGGAATTATATGTAATTTTTATAATTCTACTTGGATTGATCGGTTTTTAAGAAGAGATGAGCAATAAAATATCTTGGTAGCGGGAAGTGAGTTTTATGCGCCATCGACCTTGAGGGGGGAGGGGAGGGTGGACACCCCTGTATGTAGATATAGGTAAGGTTGTCAGGATGTGATGAGTTCAAATCCGTCTCACTAGAAATTTAAGTGATACTTAAGGTTTTGGGGGCGGGGTGGCCGAATAGGCTAAAGCGTGTGTAACAGCACCGCTAGTTGCCTGGCAACCGGATAACAGCGATTTGAGATGATATAAAAAGTACGAGTTCGCGTCCCGGTGCCGGAGGGGATTTTAAATTCCCCGCCCTCACCCCCCGGCCCGGAAAAATCCCGTATAGCCTAGAAGGCGAGGTAGGGAAGAACAAAAAAAAAAAAAAAAAAAAAAAAAAAAAAAAAAAAAAAAAAAAAAAAAGTGATACTTAAGGATTAATTAGATTAGGCAAGGTTATTTCGGTAAGAGTTGTTCACGTGGATAACACTGTTCAAGGATAGTCAGAAAGTGAATTTTTATACTATGGCCCAAAGTCCGAATATTTTCCATCGAATTCAAAAGAATTTTGGCTCCATAATATTGTTTCTTAATTTTGTTTTTGTTCTAACTTAACAAAATTACAAATAATACTCTATTTAAATATATGTATATTACTCATCCTTATTTCTTGTCTTAAATCTTAAATTAATTTAAAACAGAATAAATTGCAACACATACAAATTTATTTCACATATACAGATTATATTTGGTATGTTCCGGTATAAAGGAAACAAAAACGCATGATATCCTCCTAGAGAACCGTTATTTCATTACGGCGTGGACATAAAACAGTGAATCCCTTTACCGTTTAACATGAAGGGAACTGTTACCTGATGATATTTAAGAGTAACTGTATATAGTATGATACTACAAAGTAGCGGTTACCTCTACTCCCTTGTAGGACTCGAAGAGGTGGCCGTATTGGCTGAGGTCCAGCCTGGAGAGCCACTTGCCGACCTCGAGGTGCGGGGCGGGCAGGGAGCTCTGGATGGGGGCCGGCTCGGAAGCGGACTTGACGAGGGGGGGCGGCATCTTCTTCTGCCTTCCCAGGCTACCGAATCTGAAGTTCCATATTATACCTGCAAATAGTAATAACAGTTATCATTAGGTATTACTTATTTGAATAGTCATAATACAATCTCATTATAATAAAAAAAAAAAGAAGTAAAAGCGTCTTTGAGAAATTTCTCAACAATCGACTTATTGGCATCCTGAAGAACGAAAACATAACACCTGAACATTAATTCGGATTCCAAACATATCATTCAAACATTCATCAATTACATGAAGAGACGAACTACATTACGATGGCATTAGAGCACCAATTGTGTGAAAAAGGAGTATTTCTGGATGTTTCTCAAGCGTTCGATAGAGAATCAAGAGCTTCTTTTCAAACTAAAGACGATACTCCTTCCAACCTGACAAATTATTATCCGTCTACCAAGGCACAGAGCTTTCTACTGTCAAACCAGCCTTAGCATGAGTGCCTCAATTGTCAGCACTCGTTCCTCTGTTATATATAATTTACGCGCACGAGATTTCAGCGATACTTACTTCTTTCTAAGCTAATTGGAAGTCGTTCTAAATTAACGGTGACTAATAAATTAACTATTTTCAAAGTTAAATCACTTTGGACATATGGAATCGAGTTATGGGGAACAACAAATACACCAAATATAAAAAGAATACAATCGTTGCAGTCAGAAGTTCTCCGGAAAATTGTAGACGCCCTCTCATATGTTTCTGATCTCACGTGACGCTCTGACATTCATTTCATCACAGCAACTGCTACAAACCGTTTTAATAATTTTCATGAAAGACTGACTCTAAATTCAAACCCACTTACTCAGGCTCTATCAACTGCTACAAATCCATACAATCGGCCCAGAAGATTGCTGAGGCGCTGACCAAGATACACCTATACTTGATATCATATGACAAATCATAATATATTTCTTTTATCCTCCGATGTGAAACTTTCCCTGCTATTTACCTCGACAATGTATAAATTCCTCAGACAGACAGAGTTCAATGTCTTGGACTGACATTTAACAGAAGAATGACATAGGATTCACATATCAAGAACAAAACAAAACCTCTAAACCTAAGACTACGACTATTATACTCGCTCTTTTCAAGACATTCGAAATTAAATGTTAGCTTCAGATCTAAGCTTCACAGATATATAGGATAGGCAAAAGGAGTAACCAAAAAGTAAACTTCAGACTTTTTCAGCAAAAACTTTCATGACGTCACTAACCCTGGTATGGCAGTAAAGACCTACATATACCAACAGTTAAAGACCACATTATAAAGATTTCACAATAACTTATACAAACTACAAATTTTAAAATCAAGACAGAAAATGACTCCGCTGGGTACTCCTTTCCCTCTCACCTGCCAACGACTTATTTATTTCTGCTTCTAAGGAGTAAAATAAAGTGTTTTTTTTATATATATATCTAAAATACAAAATAATAGATAATAGGATATTGGAAGTATAAAAAATATGAAAATTGGGATTATGAAACTATTTATTTATATGTCTGATAAAAACCGATAAGTAACTAAAACGAGCGAGTTGAAAATACTTCATGTATCATTTTCAAAATTCCAAAATTTAAAAATAAAGATCGACAGGTAATACGTACAGCAAGTCGAAAATAACTTGTAGTTCCAAATTTCGAAATATATATATATATATATATATATATATATATATATATATATATATATATATATATATATATATATATATATATATATACGTTTTTTTTCTATATATATTTCGAAATTTGGAACTACAAGTTATTTTCGACTTTTGGAATTTTGAACATGATACATGAAGTATTTTCAACTCGCTCGTATTAGTTACTTATCGGTTTTTATCAGACATATAAATAAATAGTTTCATAATCCCAATTTTCATACTTTTTATACTTCCAATATCCTATTATCTATTATTTTGTATTTTAGATATATATATAAAAAAAACACTTTATTTTACTCCTTAGAAGCAGAAATAAATAAACCGAGCTAGCTGATAAAAACCGAGAAGTAACTAATAACTCATGTATTAATAACTCATGTATCATTTCCAATAATAACTCATGTATGATTTCCAGTAATAACTCATGTATCATTTCCAAAATTCCAAAATTTAGAAATAAAGATCGACAGGTAATACGTACAGCAAGTCGAAAATAACTTGCAGTTCCAAATTTCAAAATATATATAGAAAAAAAACGTATATATATATATATATACGTTTTTTTCTATATATATTTCGAAATTTGGAACTACAAGTTATTTTCGACTTATATATATATAAGTTATTTTTATATTACACAAGTTATTTCCATTTATATATATATATACATACATATATATATATATATATATATATATATATATATATATATATATATATCAGACGATGTCAAATAGTCAGGATTCGCAGTCTATATTTCATTTATTAGGCTTGCCGATGCTTCGATCTAAGCTCAGTGAGAAAGGAACTATGCTCGCCTGCTGATGATTCTTGGTACGATTCTCAATATGTCACTATCGACCCTGGGATCAGGATACTCTCCTACAGCCCATTTAGCCTCAAAGTGGATGGTCTCAATGAAATAATTAATTAAGGGATAAACTTGGCTGTTAAATCAATTTACCTCCATCAAGATTATAATGGTGTTTTTACTTCATTTTTAGATCATTTTCATAGTGTCTTCACTTGAGAACTTTTGATTCTTCATTGGGTTGTGTATTTTTGATACTTACTTTTTTCTACGCAGTTAATTTAACTATGATTGGCCAATCGTTAAAACTCATCTAGTTTCCTTGTTTAAAAATTTGATGAAATGATTAAATTGTAAATCTACTTATTTATTTTTCAAGCCCAGAATATTTTATTTGAAAATTTTGAAGTGTCATTAACATTTTTGTTTTTCTTTTATTGGTAAAATAAAATAAAAGTAATGAATTTGTATCAGGCAACTTTCCCTCAATAATCTTTTATTTTATTTATTTTTCTATAGCCTGCTTTCGTCGTTTGACAAACATTCTCCCAATAATACGACCAATAACATACCTGTGGATATGCCATTTCATTGCTTCGATTCATAGGCTCTTACACATTCCATACTTTAAAAATATTTGGCAAGTTATTTAATTATAGGTTCGCCATTAGTGTGGAGTATTTTAATCATTGAATTATGTCCTAAAATACATTTTTATATCACACACTTTTCTTTCCAAATAAAAAAAAATATATCGGAGAAACATTTAACTCTCTCTAATCTAGAAATTATAAAAATGATGGACATAATATTCAATCTTAAATACTGACATACGTTAATTAATTAACGTTGGCAAAAATCAAAGGAATAATTTATTTTTAAAACAAGTAGATAATTGGAGTCAACAGAAAACGAATTCGGAGATTGTTTCTCGGATAAAGGCCATTAAAAAACCGGAATGCCGTTCATAATCGAGTCGAATTCCAACGGTTTGGATGCATTAAGATCGATATGATGGATAATTTCATGACATCATTGGCATGAAATAAGACAGTCGGACTGGTAGTTTGGAACAGAGCGTAAGAAACGAGAGGTAGCAATAGAAGTCCCCCGTGGCACGGCATAACCTCTCTCGGGAGCAAGGCTAACCGGTGCCTCAGTGCTCTGGCTTCCTGCGAGAGCAGCTGCCCGCTTCCAAATATATTGCTCACTTTACAATTTTATAATATCAAAGACAAAAACATCTAAAGGAATAAAAAAAATACTAACTAAAAAATAATAATAAAAAATAAATAAAATATAGATGAATTATTGAAGGAAGATAGTCGACTGTTCTACATATCAAGGGTGATAAATATTCAGGACGCAGTATTCTTTTTTTAATTTAATTTTTTATTTGTACCAACGTTTCAACACAAACATGTGGGTCATCATCATAGCCCTGGAGCCAGGGCTCAAAAATTTGCAGTCCTTAAAGGCTTTTGCAGTGTGGCTGTCGATATGTAGTTTATATATTTTTTTAAATTAATTTTTTATTTGTGCCAACGTTTTAACCCAAATATGTGGGTCATCTTCAGGACGTGGTTTGAGCATTGAGGGTGTTCAAGTACTCGAACACCCTTAGCTGGAGTACTTGAACACCCTCAGTGCTCAAACCACCCCCTGATAGCCCTAGAACCAGAGCCCCAAAACCGACCTGATCGCAGGGGAATGTTTGATTGTAAATTACGAAAGTTTATGCTATTCTGAGTAAAAATAACCTTGTCTAACGTTCCAGAGCCGCTGCTTTAAAAAAATGCAGCTGATTTAAAGAATATTAGACAAATCATTTGAGGATCGAAACAGGAAATCAATTGCGAAAAATGTGAGGAAATTTTTTCATTATGCTAACTTGTATATATGGGTTTAGACATGTAAAAAAAAAATCGCTAATGCGGGTCACCAAGGGAAAACTTTTTACAGCCAATAAAGACAGATTTTTTCGATATTTTTTGTTTTTTCTATGAAAAATAAGGTTTTGAGCTTTTCTGGTCAACCTTGTCCTGGCGTATATTCTGATCCCATAAAATTAAATCTACTATGTTTCATTCCTTCTATATGACCTTTTGTAAAAACCTGTAATTTAAGAACCAGCGAATTGTGATGTAAAAAACTGTAAGTTACAGTGAAGGTTAGACAAACTGTGTCGTTAACGAAAACGTAATGAAATGCTCAATTAAAGGTGGCCATGTAAATACAGATTGTATAAAGCGTTTTGCGCTTAGACTACAGTATCAGTTAGCTTTATCAATAGGCTAAAATAAATTTTTCTCATACGTTTTTTATTTATTTTTTTCAAATTTCTAATAAGTAGCGGACACTTCCAACACTCGGCGCCACTAGAAAAATGTCCAAGTTCCCTATCTCTGCTTACCATAGGACTAGATGAAGCAAAGAAGAGAGTGGTAAGTGCGAATATAATAAGTGTCGCCCAAAATCGGTCTTGGTCTTGCATTTTGCTACTGCGGCAAGACCAAGACCAGGACTGGCAAAAAAAAAAAAACCTGTATCACTACAACCCATGAAGACTCTTGGATTCAGTACTATTCAGGGAAATCACTGTTTCTAGGTCAACGGTTGTGCGAGGAAGTGATTTGACCGAGATCACGCTCAACCGCCAGGTTTTCCACCTTAATTAATTATTTAATTAAGGGCACCCACTTTATAGAGACTGGGTGTGCCCCAAGGAAGGTCTACCGACACACGGTCGGCTATTCAAAAAAATTACAGTAATATTTCTAAATTAATAAGCTAATAAGTAACTCCAAGATTCTTGCGCAAGACAAAGACCATTACCAAGATTGAGTTTGCAAGACCAAGACTCGTTTCGGTCTCGCATTTGGGCAACACTAAATATAACATTGAACGGCCTTAAAAACAATCAAAACTTCTAATTACGCTTTACTGGGAAAAAAGCTACAATACTACCGAATTTAAGGTAGTGAAAGACAGATAATTGATTTCATTAATTGGAAAAATTAACACGAGACAAAAAAAAAAAACACTCTAGTTTCATCTTTTCAAACTACTGAATCTTCGAAATGGCAAGAAACTCAGAAACCAAGTGATCTACACATCAGCAGGTTACCCAGAGAAAGCATTCGTGAATAGAACCATGTACATATGAAGTTGAGTACGTTAAAATCTTTCATAGACTACTACAAAATGAGACACATGCATTCCGTTCAAGCCGCCCCTACAGAGGTAAACAAAAAAGTGAGTATCCCGTATGATCAAATACTCGCCTTCCAGTCAGTTTTTTACAAATTTTTATTTGAAGTCTCGTTTCTCTACATTTTAGAAACTGCCTTTGTTTCTGTCATGCTTTGATCATTATTAACAAAGCTATGGGTGTTACTAGAAAAAATTTGATTACTTTTACCTAGCTAATACCTTTTTTTTCAAAGTAACTAAAAAGAGTTTTTTACTTAGAAGTTATGGCTCTAAAAGATTATTTGGCAGAAATATGCTCAAAAAAAATTATATTACATCTTTGTCTTAGTCCTGCAAAAAAATTAATTAGAAAAATAATGCACATAGAAAAAAATTACACAGTTTTTTCGTCTCCAGAAATTTTTTTTCAGGCTTTTACAGTGTAGCTGTCGATGTATTATTAAACCTGTGATGTGTTTTATTTTGTACGCAATTAACCAACCAATAACTTTAAATGGTTAAATTATTGTTTTCCATCTAAAAAAAGCATGAGATTTTAAAATTAATTACAATAATAATATTTTATAATATAATAAAATACAGTGACTGGATTTTGGCTGCCAAGCCCCAGAGCTAAATAAAAGCGAATAATGAAATAAAAATAAATGATAATACATTTTAAATTAACTTCCAATATTAATAAATTTATTTTTAAAACATTGATGGTACGTGAAATAATAAACGAACTAATAATATATGTAAGACACAAAAATCGTTCAAATTCAGTGTTTTTTTTTTAAAGAGATTTTGAATAACTGAAATTAATTGCAATTTTTATTACAGATTTTTCATAAAAAATGTATCAATTGATGAAGATATTTTGAGTTTAAATGGTATTGGTGCTGAACACATACATATTGTTTGTGTGCATTTACAAAACATTACTCATTACTTCATGTGAAATATTTAAAAAAAAATTGAATAGAGGCTGTAATAGATTGAATAGAGGCTACGATTGAAAAATACTTTAAACCTAACAGTAAAACAGTGACGGAAGTTCATTCATCAAGCATCAAATTAAAAAAAAATACTCTTTGAAGAAAAGTGAATGAATTAAAATCCCAACAAATATGTTGGTAATAACCTTTACACTCCGACGCAACGCCTGTCCACCGGTACAATTTAATTCCATCCAGCTTCCTTTCTCAGATACAGTCCGGTTTTCTTTTAGACTGAAGACTAACATGGAACCCACATAATAGACTCAAAAGACAAGAACTCAACCTATGATACGGCCAATTATACAGATTACTGCACAGAAAATCTAAACTTTCAATTAAAAACAAATTACTTATCTTCTCTCCAAGACAATCCTGAAACCTATGTGGATATATGGACTTGAAATGCGGGGGACAGCAAAATTTTCATCAAATGCATTCAATCATTTCAATCTAAAGTACTTCGAACTAGTTAATGCTCCATTCTATGTAACCAACAAAACCCTACATCATGACCTTAATAGTCCACTTGTCTTAGACCTTATCCCAGGAAAAAACTCCACATTTCACCAGAACTTTACCTATCATCCGATTCCCCTTGCACAATCCGTATCCACGCATCACAACAATCCTCCTCGAAGATTGAAGCGGCAGTGGCCCAGAGACCTTTAGTGAATAAGTATACATTAGAGTTTTGGCATCGGCCATATTCTCCACTCAAGCCATGTATGTGTGATTATAGCGCCTCTGCTCAGCCTCTACTGGCCCTAAATACCTGTAATACGGTTGAGTGAGGGGCGCTGGGATCTAATAGAGTCCTGCCTTTCCTTCCACGAGTAGGGAGAAAGGCTTGGCTTGGCGATCTTGAGTGAATGACTTTTTACTTTTTTAAATATTGTATAGAATCATGTGTGTAATTAATTTTATCAGTTTAGTTTCGTTTATATACATTTACTTTTAGTATTATTGTTTATCTGTATTATTTATTTGTATTTATTGTTGAAAGAGTGAGAATTTGCTCTCTGAACACTATTATAAAATTCCTTAACTGTGATAGAATGTAATATCTCTCAATAAATATGAAGAAAAAAAAAATGAAGAAATAAAAAAATGATGCTATGTTATCAAAACAATAAATGAAATTGAATTCGTTCAGAAAATAAAACCATTTTAGGATAATCAGCACGTTAACAAAAATTATAATATTAAAAAATAAATTTTTTTTTTGTTCGAAAACGAGTAATTTTAAGGTAAAAAAAAGTTAATCTGGTAACATTTATACTGACAATTATTTTTTTTTGAGCAATAATAATGTGTCGATACGTTATCACAATAAATTAATCTATGTATCGCGCAATGTGTAGAAATATACACGTAGTCTTATATGCCTTTTTTGGTGTTATTGATAACTAAGATTTCAAGTAAGATTCAACTAAATCCGAAATGAACAACCATATTTCTATCTGTCAACTTTAAAATAGTCGGAATAGCATTTAACTTGCTGTTGAAGATTTCTAGGAAATGTAAAATACTGTTGATGTCACCCAAGAAATGCAAGCAAAACTGTTTTGTAGATGTAAGCAGGTTACCTCTGATTTCCTCATGCATGAAACCAGGCCATGTACTACACTTAAATTGAAGGTAGTGATGGCAAAAAGAAAACGCTTTTGAAAGATTCAAGTAATCAGTAAATTCTATTAAAATGTTTAAATAATGAAATATCGGTAACCAAAAAGTTTAATTTACGATGTTATCATTTCTTTTATATTGTATGACTAGGTCTGATATTTTTCTGAACCACAACCGATTTTTAAATGTATATATTTATTCTCTCTAACATATATATAAATCGATTTATGTCTCTTTCTGAATTTCTACGAAGAAAATAGGACAATGCTGAAGTTATACATCACACATATGTATGTGTGTAGTAT